GCTCGAAGACGACTGAGTACCAAAGTTTGGATTCCTGCCAAGATGCACTCGCTTGATGGGTGCCCATGGACTGGATTCTTGTGCATGAAGCAATGGGAGCCTGAGCCAAGATTCTAGAGGATGTCTTACCGGCGATCCTTCTGTTCTTTCCTGATCTTCGTCTCTTCGTACACCAATGTTGGACCGCGTTCAATCATGGGGGTCGCTAAGACTAGAAAGTTGCTTTCCTTCCGAATCCTGCGACTGTGTTGAGGCTCGCCAGTATTCAATTTGTTTCACTCCATTCCGCAAAGACGCGCCAATGACTTTGAGTGGAACATGCGTGCCGTGTTTCTCCTTTTCAGGAGCCGGCTTATCGCCTGAAGGCCAGGCCTTAGACCTGGAGATTCCTGTTCAAGTCAAACCGCAAACCATCATGTGTTTTATGTTTGTTTCCTTCCTTTTGTTTGAGGAAAAGAAGAAGAAGAAGAAAAGACCGGCAAGGCCAGAACGTTGCCCAGAGCGAGCGTTTCAGGGTCAATGACGGACTTGTTTTGGTCCAGGGTTTGGGTCAAAGCAGTTGGCAAGTCCAAGTCCAACCCAGCCCCTGGGGTCATATTGAGGGTCCAATCCTTCCTCCCTCACGCGCTGAGCCTGAAGCAAAAAGCCGAGGCACACTTGCAGAGCACTGGGTGCCCATTGGTCCCGCAGGCACCGGCGTCACCGACGTCGGTGGCATCGCCGGCGTTGGCACCGACATCGGTGGCATCGCCGGCATCACCATCCCAGGCATACTGGGCATGCCCTTGGTGGAGGCACTCTGGGGAACGTCCCAACGCCTAGGCCGCCTATGCCCCCGACGCTTCCGGACCTTCGAAATTCTTCCACGGGTGGCTGGGCTGGCATTTGGGAGCCTGGGCACGCTGCTGGCAAACTTGGCCCGGACTTGGCCCAAACTACGGCAACTCCCGAATCTTCACTGCGGGCGCGGCAAGCCCCAGAGCGCACTCCCACGGCCAGCACGCCGCGAGCCTGTCATACATTGGTTTGTCCCACCTTGCACCACATGGTAAGACCTCGAATTTTGATGGCCTGGGCCTCGGCTGAAGCTGCTGTGGCCACCTCGCTGCCTTCTGACCCCGTCATAGTCACCAGCTTCCTCGCACAAGGGTAGTGATAGGTTGTACTTCCTGGCACATCCCGACCTCCCGGACTTGGCAACACCTCAGAATCGACTGGTGACAATTGTGTCGAAATCTATGTGCAATCAAGCCACAGCTGATCCAGCCCGTCAGGCCCTTGCCAATGACATACACCTCAATCCGGTACCGAAGCATGGCGCCGGTGGAGAAGAAAGAAAGGCAAGCGTCTTGCCTGCAATCGCCGGCTTTCCGGTGAACGCCCGTGCTTCAGCACGAGACAGGCCTGCACAAACGCCACATCCAGCACAACCAGTTCAAACCCCCAGTTCCCGCGACGGTCCTGCCCTTCCTCCAGCTCACCGCAACTGAGCACAACGGGTTTGCCAAACTCAATGATCTCTTCTCAGCCCCAGGCTTGTCGGAGGCCAAGTCCTTCGCACAAACTCCGGAGTTGGGCCCTTGAAACCACAAAACACCGCCGGTCCTCGGCAGTTCGAAGCACCGCAGCGCCACAGAGCTCGACAACACAGCCTGCTGGGAACACCTGGCACGATGACCGTTTCCCACTACAGAAGGCACGTTTCATCAACCTCCGCAGGTTGAGGAGTAGAAGACCTGGCATCAAATCAGCAAAGTGGAAATGCGGTCGGTGTGTATGGCAAATGTTGAAGATTTCTTGAAATGGCCAGCCAGCAGCACGAGATTGTGGAAATGGCGGCCATGCTGCCGACATGATCTAGTTGCTCATGGCGTCAAGTATGTGTCCGTTCCACAATTTTTGTGCTGCAAGAGTTCCATTGCGTGCCCGCTTGCGAGGGGAAGGGATTTGTCCAATCATTGGTCATTTTTTGTGGGTGGTTTCAGTCATCGCATGGATGGAATCGCTCATCATGCAGGCCCTGTACTCACAGGCAGGGAACTGCATTACATCCAAACCATAAGCTGCCCAAACTACTTCTCAAACTCATGTCTTGCGAGCCAACAAGGCATGGCGCAACATGTTTTCTAAAATGCAGACGAACAATCTCCCCACTGGGGTATTGCCTTGCACCCCCCAAAAAAATGTTAAAAAGTAGGGGGCCCGTTTAGGGTCCCCTGTTCTGGATTGTATTTTCATCTCAAAAATGTTGACCCCCTTCTTCATTTTTAAAAAGGAGTTTTGGGGAGTTTATTTATCGTTTTTTGGGTAAACGGTCACCTTGTTCAGCTGACAGTCTTTTATTTGAAAGAGTTAGCCCTTTTAGTAGTTGATCGTTCTGGGGTGTTGGGTGGTGCATTTGTTTTGACATGGGTTTGTCCATTCAAAGTGTGTTATAGGATAAAACTACAGTATAATGACCGACTATAAAAGTTTATGCACGTTATAATTGAATAATATGAACAAACCACGAAATTAACGTGTATATTCTCTGTTTCTCTATAAATTTCATATGTAATATGTTCTATAATAATGATTTCACGTCGTTGCATAGTCTGTTCTATTTCTTCAGCTGCTTGTTCAATATGAAGTTTTATTTCCCTTTGTGCTTTGTAAAGCCCGAGCCAACTAACCAAACAACCAAACAACACAGAAGGTCCGTCAAAGACGCTCACAGACTTCGTCCATATATATATATATCTATCTTGCCGCATGCAAAAACTCTTGACTTCACTTCTTCACTCCGTACCTTTAATTGAAACACTCGGCTCAAGATCTTTTCAATCGGGGGTGCGTGCATTGTCGATCGCGTCTCAAAGCGATGCTTCTGCAAAGAAAACTCAACAGGCCACAAAACCGTGCATTGTCGATCGCGTCTCAAAGCGATGCTTCTGCAAAGAAAATTCAACAGGCCACAGTCTGCATCTGAACAAGGCTCTGGCAAAAGCAAAGGGTTGGGCGGGCGGGTTTCAAAATTTCCTTCGCCGATTTCAGCGAAGAGGGCTCCCACCACTACCCACCCTTAGTCCATACGCAAGCAATACAAATTCGAACCACAACTCAGGTTCGTGTGCTCGAGCGTTGGCTTCCCTCCATAAAAGCTAAGCCAACAAACCAAAGCAACATGCAAATAAACCGCAACTTCGTTGACAGCAAGCTTATTTCCCTTTGTGCTTTGCAAAGCCCGAGCCGAGCCAACTAACCAAACAACACAACCAAACAACACAGTAGGTCCGTCAAAAACGCTCACAGACGTCGTCCATATATATATATATATATATCTCTCTCTCTCTCTCTCTCTCTCTCTCTCTCTCTCTCTCTCTTGCCGCACGCAAAAACTCTTGACTTCACTTCTTCACTCCTTATCTTTAATTGAAACACTCGGCTCAAGATCTTTTCAAACGGGGGCGCGTGCATTGTCGATCGCGTCTCAAAGCGATACTTCTGCAAAGCAAACTCAACAGGCCACAAGACCCCCCTTTCAGTGGCTACATTCATAGCGACTGCACAACGAGATCCGAGCCCACAACAATTCGACTTGATTCTGGCAAAATGGGATCCGCAACATTCCGCGAAGGGGCATCAGCGACGTTTCCAAGCGATGGTACTCTGGCGTACCAAGAAAAGATGCACATGCATTTCTTGCCTAGAAATTGCAGTCACAATCTTGGAGATGGTGGCACTCCTTGAGAAGCCTTTGAGGATCGAGAATCGAGCACCCGCGTTATCAAAAAAAAGACGGTATGTCGGGCCACAAGCCGGTTATGCCACGCGTGTTGCGCCACAAGCACAGCAAGAGCCTCACGCTCACCTATCAAGCGGCGCTGACTTTTCTGCAACAACATGCGGCACATCTCTGTGCTTGCAGGGGTACTACACCAGGACAATACCGCGCCTTGGCTGTTGATCAGCACCCCCCCCCAAACCTCCTACAATTTGATCCATCTCAAAAAATGCATCTGTGTAAATGTAGAAGGTTTCGGAGCTTGCAACGTGGACAAGACGAGGAGTGTCACCTGGCCGTGCCGAGCCAATACTGGCAGGCGAAGAGGAGCTCCTGGCCGGGGGTCAAGTTGTAGGTGTGCACGATGTTCCGGTCATGGTGTAGCCGTCCACACTTGCTGCCCCAAGCCAGGAACGCCCGCTGAACCAACCAGTTTGCCAGAAAGACGCCCGTGGGACTCTTCGATGGCAGCCACCACCTCGTCATGACAAGTGATGACAAGTGATGACAAGTGATGACAAGTGATGACAAGTTACCTTTGCCTATTAATGAACAAAGATTGATTGAAAATTGCCAAGATTCTGAGCTCTGGAAAACCTCCTGAGCCGTGACAAGCGATGACATCATGCGAACAATTTTGATTGCTGATGCATGCATAACAGACTACATGTTTCACATGAAGTACGGTTTCAACCGGAGCTCATCATGAACCCCCAAGTGTGTTGGATGCATATTTAAGCACCCCGCCTCAGATTCTGCTGAATCCTGTAGGCTGAATCTGGATTTCTTCATCAAAGTATCTGTACAAACATCACTGACCTGAAACAAGCACACTGTTCTTTTCACAGTGTTGCTCATCAACTCGCATGTGAAAACCGGATCTTGAAAGGATCCTCCATAGGCAAAAGTGGCCTCCGAACTCATCGTCTCCGGAGTACCCCGCCAGAAACTTCCGATGGAGCTTTACCACGCCCCTTGCCAAAGCTGCGACATGTTTGGCACACCTTGTAATTGGCCAAAATGGCCGCGCTCTCTGTCATCTCAATGTGGCCACGCAGAGTCCACCTGCAACCTGGCTTGTGGTAGCACCGACCGCCGCTTGTCACCCAAACAATAGTCCTGTCTGCAAATAGGTCGCTGCTCGCTGACGACCTTTCAACCGTAAGCTCTTCCTCAAAACGCAAGCTGCTGGCTACTTGCACATCCACAGTCTGTGTACTGCGGTCTTCGCAGTCGCTCCGTTTGTACAACCAATATCCACGCGCATACATGCAGAATGTATAGCAAACACATAGCAAGAAAATCACAAATCCGCTGAACATCACAATGTCAAAGATAATCCAGAACTGGTTCTCGCTCATAAAGATTGGGCTCTCTTCCAGGCTCAAGGCTTTGTCAAGGCTGTTCTCACCTGTACTATATCCCATCAAGTTGCTCACAATTTTCAGGTGTCCAGCACGGCCGGGAGCTGCCGGAAGTCGCCCACCAGCAGAAACCGCACGTCATGGTTCAGGCACGCGCGCGATCCGCCCACAGGCCCATGTCGAGCTGCGTGACGCTGCCAGTGGTCGGCCGTCTTCGCGCCGGCCCAGGTTCTGCGGCGCTGTGGGTCTTGCTGATGAGGTGCACTACCTTGCCGCGCTTCCGCAGCTTGGTCACGATGATCCGCGCCAGGTGCGTCTTGCCTGTGCCGGGCAGAGCGGAGCGATCGGCCGGCCAGGCAGTGCGCCACAGGGTCGGCCACGTCCGTCCAGCCGGCGGCCCTTGCTGGCGGCTCCGCCTGCGTGCAGGGCGGCGCGTGCTTGCCTCAGCGGCTTCGTCGTCTCTGCGTGGCGGAATTTGAGCTTACTTTGGCGGGAGCCCCAGTTCTCGTCGGATGCGTGCATCGTCGCCTCGAAGCCGAGCACGCAGTCGTGGATGGCAGCGTCCCGTTGTTGTGGATTGAGCGGGTGGTGATGAAGTCCCACACGTACCGGCCTTCGCCGACGTAGAATACCTGCCTGGTGTCGCGTCCAGCGCGTTGCTGCTGCTGCGCCTTGTTGCTGTCGATGAGCCCGATCATCGAGTTCACTGCAAGCTTCGCCATACGTTCTTCGCCCGCGGGCCAGGCCATCACCAGCGCCGGCGCCAGGCACTCCGCGGTGACGTGGCTGGCCGCGTCCATTGTGTGATTGTGTGGAGCACGTCGGACCACCACGCCGCACAGCATGTAGTCCACCGAGACCTTCGGGCACCAGCCCGGCCCCACGTAGGGGGGCGTCGCGCCCCCGATTTTGCAGGTCCACCAACGAGAGGTCTGCGAGGTGCCCGGGGTCGGTGTTCGGGCAGAAGATGGGC